TAGAGACGAGTGAGTTAGGTAGAGACTTAGCTTTAGCGATACATTTTTAATATAAAGTATACATATGTTTAATAAAGTACACATACCTAGCCTGACAGAGGGTTTAAAAAAATATATATATATATAAATTTTCTAAAAATTTTATTGATTTATTGTTAAATTTGATTTTGTCAAAATATTACCAATATTTTATATACTGAGTAGTAACAATTAAAAAAGATTTTTTAATGTTTTTATTATTAAATTTAATTAAATTAAGCAATAATTTAATTGCTAAATAATATGATTTCAACTGGTGTAAAAAAATTATTAAAAATTATATATTCTATATTTTTGTTTTATAAAATGATTAAGCTTGATTCCAAGTAAATAGAACTCTTAATAAAAATTAACTTTCTAAATTTATATCTTTTATATATATTATATATATTTAAAAAAATTTTTTTTTCTAAAATCTGAAGGTCTAAAGAATTATTTTTTTTATTTGATAATTTAGAAAATTTGATTTATGCTACATATTATAACTTATTACATAACTAAACCGGTAAAATAGTATTTTAATTTTTCATTTCAAATTTTCTTTTTTATCACAAATGCAACAAATAAGTTCAAATTATAATGTAATAAATCTATTTCACACAATTTCCTTAGATATAATACGAATAACATGATTTCCTGCAGTTAACCATTTTTCTAAAAAGGTTTTAAGGTCTGTGCTTTCTCCTCCACTTCTAAAAGACTCTCCATTACCATCATTAGGACTATTTTCAACAGTAGATGGTCTAAAGTTAACATTTAAATTGATAAATTTAAACATCACTAGAGTATCGTTGCGATCTGGATTCAACAATTCTTGATCGAAACTAATTATTAAATTAATAACGTCAATAATCAATATTTGGAATAGCAACATTGAAAATAAATAAGATTACCTCGAAATATATTGGTCAACTCGTGCTTGTATTGATAAAATGGGAAATCCTGTAGCCAAATCTCTTTCGTTCTCGAATGTAATAAAATCAATACTTTCTTTCCAAATATCTATTTCGGTTTTTTCGCATCCTTCTTTTGATAATCTTATTTTTAAATAAGTTTCAAATATTTCTGCGGAGCAATTCGGCTGAGAAAAGTAATTATTTCCCCTTGCACCGAATAATATTGAATTTAACTTCAAGTTGATTGGATATCCTCCAGAAGTGTTTTGCTGCTGAACTGATGCTGTTATTGTTGAGCTTGATGACGCGGTAATTTGATGATGAGGAGAACGCAAAGGGCTTGCTACATCCGGCAATGTAGTGTCTAATATAATTTTCAATTAGTTTAATTATAATACGGTAAAACAAGAACCAAAAGCACAATTACCAGGTGAAGCCGTATTTTCTTCGCAAATGACTGTATTAGTTGTCGCTGGTTACAAAACGGATAGATTAGGCTCAGCTATCAAAAATCATAATGGATAAAATGGAAATGCATGTAGGAAAGCACCCAAGGGAAATATTCTCTTTATCGATTGATGACATTTTCAGTGTCAAAACATTGACAAACATTAACCTTTAGAACCAATCCCTTTCTTTGAAGATGCAGAAGTTTTTCTGTTAAAACCAATCCTCGGTGCACTAGTGTTAGAAAGTCCCTCCGAGGTTCCTAGAATCTTTTCACGGCCATCATCATCATCATCATCATCACCATCAATATATGATAACGCACCTTCACTCATTGAAAGTGATCGACCAGATTTCCTTTTTGTTTTCGTTGGTGGGGTTACAGTGGCAGCAGAACTGTTAGCGGTCGACAATGAATATTTCCTTGGCTTAGGACCTGAGTCAATAATTTCGGTAGCTCGACTTGTATTCGAGCCCTGTAAAATTTTTCCCTGTTTCCATTTTACTCCACAGGCATTGCAAAGAGTTCCTATATGACATATAATTCGATCAATGATAAAGTAAAAAATTTTTAAAATAATCAAATTTTACATACCGGCACCATCGGGGCCTCTCCTCCACATGGGAGTATTCTTTGCAAAACAATAAGCGCATTTTTTATTACCTCCACTTGAATTAGAGACTGGAGGATGCACTACATTAGGAGTCATAGGAGGTACCGGTTTTATCTTCCTTGAGTTGGTTTTTGATGATTTACTTCCTACAATATTTATAAAATTGATATTAATTAAATCCTCAATTACTATAAAACATCATTGATTAGATCATACCTTCACCAACTTTCGTTATGGACTTTAATTTTTTGGTTGACTAAAAGATGGAATAAGTGTTTAACATAATATATATTATATCCATTCTGGTGTTGTGAATGTCGTTTCTTACAGGTTCTGGAACCTCCCCATCCTGGCCTTTGACGTCCTTGTCGTTTCCGGCATCTATCTCCATATCCGTATCCTTATCTTTAGGTTTTTCTTTTTCCTTATCAACTCTACGTCTTTTTTCTCTAGGAAGTGCTATAGTATCGACAATTAATGTTCCATCAAGCCTGGATATATTCTTTCCAATTATCTGTTTAAAGCATAAATATAAGTTTTAAATTGTTATTATTTATAGAAAACAACATCAACTAATTACCTCCAATAACTCCTCGGGATAATCACAAGGCAAACAATGAAGCAAATATTCGCGATTGGGCTGTTTATTTACCTGCAATGAATGAACAGTTGTTATTTACAGGTCTATTACGATTAAGCCTCAAATTTTTATTTGACCAACCTTTGCAGTCATTGATTGTAATACAGACGTCAAGTCATTTGTAACTCGCTGCAACGCATCCCACATCGATTGTGTTAAATTTGTCAAATGCATGGTAACGGGTTGATATTCTCGTTTGGAAACAGTCATCTCCTCATTTTGCGGAAGATAGAACGACGCAAGAATCTAAATATAAGTTTCAATAGTAAAAATAATATTAGATTATAAGAAACAATATATTATTATGTCAATTTTTCAAAATAAAAATCTTACGTCGTAAGGCTCTGACATTGACATAGCCTCTAGGACCGTTTCCTTTGGAAACAACCACTTATCACTTTTTGTTTCCCTAAACTCCAAAAGGACTTCATATCTAACTATTTGTCTGGATCTCGTTGTTAGAAGTTGCGGTCGCGAATGAATTTGATGTTGCGGCATCTGTTGAGGTGATGTTAGCAATTGATGAATAGTTGTAAGTTGATTTATTAGGGCATTCTTTTGTTCCGGTGTCATATTAATCGATGCCTGTGGTTGCCGTAACTGTTCTTGAATAACCAATATCTGAGATGGAGTGATGGTCTGAAATAATGCAGTAAGCTGCGAATTAGCCGGTAGAACAGAAGGTGGGAGAACTCTTGAACCATTCGCATTTAGAGTATTTCCATTTGCAGATGAAGAAGAAACATTTGAATTTAAGTTAGAATTCGCATGTGATAAGGTATTTGAATTCATATTCTGAACGTTCATGGATGAAGCCGGAACAGAAGAAATAACAGGGGAATTGGAAGGTGTTGATCGAGTAGTTATTTTGGTGGTTCCTCGTGGTTGGATTGGTACCTGTGACTGAGTTTGATTTGCTGGCCGTGGTTGGATCGCCGGTTGTATTGGTCGTGAGGCCGTGGAATATGAGCTTACTTTTGGTGTGGAACTTGATTGTGCTTGAACTGAAGATTGTAAAGGTGGCGTTGCAACGGACTGGGTTGACGATTGGGTCTCAGAATGAGTTAGCGGTTGGAACTGCGATCCAGTCAATGAACTCGGTTGAATTTGTAAACCTCCACTTTGTATGTCTGTACTTCTTACTTCCTTTTCATAGACGGCTTCATAAATCTTTGTGTCATAGAATGTGTGCGGTCCTATAGTTATGTGACATTTTCCAAGAAGAGAAACACTTGCGGTCGGATTTGTATGTTCTGGCAAAACAGGATGATAAACAACTTCTTGCTTGCTAGAGAACTTTTTTAAAATTGAACTCGTCCAAGCCTGTCGGGACTGAGTCAAAGATAAGAGAAGGATACCGCTGATAATTGAGAAGACAGATCAAAATTTTTTCGATCTGTAAAATAAATTTCTAGTATCTAAACATACCTTTCTTTGTAGTTATGCATCGAAGCCATTTCTTTCTCACTTTGAGGACGATTAGAGGTTGGAAGTGGTAAACCTTTCAACGATTCAGCCCTTTTTCTACTCATTTTTGCTAATATTTAAATGAACAAGATTAAGATCTAGAGAACTGGTAAAGAATTTAACAAAGTCGTACTGACGAATTTTCATTATTTTTTGTGTAACTCATGTAACATCATAAGTGCTGCAATCATGTCATCAGATATCACGACGACTAACTCGTCTTTGTACAGTAGGCACCATAAGTAACGCACGATTTTCAAAGGAAATTTATGCGCGCATTTAAAAAAAATTTTTATTGGTTTGTCTATTAGTATTTGGTCGGCTCTCCATTTGCTGCCAATACGGCTTCGATTTACCGTGACATTGAGTCTATAATGTCTCGCAAAGTTGGCCAAATCATTGTTTCAATTTTTTCCTTTGCAAACTAATTTAGATCCCAATAATAAACATGATGCATTAAAAAATGATACAAATTTGTCTTCTAAAATCTTCAGATAGGTTTCTGCCTTGATTTTTTCTTTCTTTTCCTTGTATTCGTCAAAAAATATTAATGGACTTTTGATTTCCCTTACAAAACATCTCCAGGTTATTAATTAATGTCTACCACTTTTGAAACTTGGAATTGTATCTCTCACCGTTATGATACTATACTCTAATTTGACATGATTTTTTCCAATTTCTATACTGGTTTCATTCAAAAAAATAATCTGCCATCAATAATATTAGCTCTAATATGAATGACTTTTTTACTGCTACACAAGAATAAATTCACACATTGTGTAATACCCTGATAACAATTGTTAAAATGCAAGTAAACTTTAAACTGTTGATAATGTCTTTTAATGGTATGACATTTCTTTATAATTTCTTGAAGAAAAGCTTCTTTTTCTTCATCAAAAAGAAGTAGTTTTCTTTCATATCACAGAAAATTTTTTATATTTCAGTTCTTTCTTATTTAGCTATGAACCATCTTATTGTTGAAAGAACATATCCCATTTTTTTTGTAACTTGTTCAATACTCATATTATCAATATATGTAAGAATCTTTCTTTTATTTACATTAATAAATTGGATATAGGAGCATATCATATTAAACTAGTGATTTTTTTTTTATATGTAGTTAATAATAAAAAAAAAAGCGAGATTCTAAAAATAACAAAATAAGATAAACATTACACTTTTATTGTCCATATGATTTTATAACTAAATTGTATATCACTTATGATACTTACTATATATTATTAATTAAAGGATCATAATACTTAAGAAGTTCACTAAACTAGTTTAAATTAAACAAAGTTTTAATTAAATATTCTGAATTAAATTTAAAGAACAATATTTTACTTCTCTAATAAATTAATATTAGGATTTTTATTTATTAAAATCATTAATAGTTTATTACTATAAATTATCTCAAAAAGCAATAAATTGTTAAATTAATATATTGAAAAATAAAAAAAAAATAATTCGAAAATTTTTTCAAAAAATTTTTATTTAAATAAATAATCTCTTTTCAAAAAAGATTTGCTTAATAAAATATTTTTTGTTTTAAATTATGAAAAAACTTATTTATTAACTATTGAAATTATATATTATTTAAGAAACTTATTATTTTAAGTTTTTAAAATAAATCTTATCTTATATCTTTTATCTATAAAATTTGAATTTATTTTTTTTATTTATTTTTTAAGTACACATAGTTAGACTAAATTATAGTTTATTAATCAACTGAAAACATAAGTATATTTTTACTTGAACAATATAATATATACTATAACTAAATATTTCTATCAAATTTAAAAACTTATATTAAAAATAATCTCTAAGTTTGATCTTGAAAACAATATTTCACTTTATAATAGTCTTTAAATAAATATTTTTCTAATCTATCACTTTATTATTAACAAATTGTTATTATTGAATGTTTTATTTAGCTATTGAAATATAGAAACTACAAAAAAATAGATTGAAAAAATATATATATATATATTTAAAAATATTCAAATGAACTTACAAGAATTTGAAAAAAAAAACTCTTTCCACTGATCCACATTTTTTCAAAAAATTTTCTTTTTTGGTAATTTTCTTGGAAAAATCACAAAAACTCTTTCACACAAAAACAAGCCTCAAAGGACACAACCATCCATTCCTAGGCAACAAAATTTACATTACAACAAACAAGAAAAGAGGTTTGCTCAGCTTGAAAGATAGATATTGTGATAAAAATAGCATCTACTACCATTGGATAGTTATTTTTAGTCATGATTTTCATTCTATTTCTATTTTTATCTA